TATTAACTAATTATTTTGAGAGATATAAACGATTATTTTTAGGAATTTTTTTTTAAAATAATTTATTTTTCGTGAAACAAATGGACCCTAATAGAAGAATATCACTGTTGTTGTTTGAATTTCAACTTCATTGATAATAATACATCACACATTAGAATGAAGCCAAAATCGAGCGTTGCAAGATTTAAATTGAGTGAAAGATAAAAGTTTATTTAGACACGTCATGGGATTCGGGAATAATACCATTAAAATTCTCAAACTAGAACCCCATGTCACTTTTAAGCTCCGTTTGTTCGAAACAATAAATAATTTAGAAAATATTTTCTTAAAAATGATCATTTGTATCGTCTACAAAAATGAGTAAATGAAATTTTTATCATTGTTTACGGAGATATTTAGAAATAAATTACTTTCGATAAGGAAATCATTTTTTATCAACTAATTATTTTAGGCAATAAAAACGATCATTTTTAAGAAAATATTTTACAAATTATTAATTTTTCGCGAAACAAATGGAGCCTTTGGCTACGAATGATAATCATTTTGTTTCTTTGCTTTTTCTATTTTTCTGTTCCTGGGAATAGGTTTTGAACATAAATCCGTTTGGTAACGCAGTTTCATTTTTCTATTTTTAGAACAAATTTTATTTTTCATAAATATGTTTGGAACAGAAATGAGAAGTAAAATTTTTTTACTTTTCTATTTCTAGAACAAAAATTAAAAATAAAAATTATTCTTATCGCTCACCCTCGCTAGTCGATCGCCCGCCCACCGCTGGCTGCTACCCACCAGTCGTCTATTGCCTGCCAGCCGCCGTGGGCCACCACCTGCCTCCTCCCGCTGCCTCCCGCCGCCACCCTCCTGCCGCCGCCACCCACCTCTCGCCGCTACCCACCTGCCATTCGCCGCCTCTCGTTGCCATCCTCCTCTCGTTGCCGCTCACCTCTCGCCACCGCCCACTTGCCATTTGTCGCCTCCCCCCGTCCATCGGTTGTCGTGGCTTGCCACCCGCCGCCAACCGCCACCTTCACCACCACTGACCTGCCATTTGTCACCTCCTGCCATCCATCGGTCGTCGTGCCCCGATCCCGTCACCGCCCTCCTCCGGCCGTTGCCCGATGTCGCCCGACGTCGGTCACCTCTTGCCGTCATCCTCCGCATTGGCAACACCGCCGTCCTTCGCCGCCCACTCGCTAGTCGCAAAAGAGAGAAATTTTGTGTTGTTAATAAACAAATTTTTGTTTTGGGAATAGAAATTTTGTGTTGTTATCAAACGCGTAATTTTACTTAAAAACTCATCCATGAAATAGAAGTAGAAAAATCTATTTCTGGCCAGAAATTTATTTTTAAAACAGAATGGTTGTCATTTGCGCCCTTACTCTAAACTCATCCTTGATTTAAGGTCAAGTCTAGTCATTGCGGTGGTCATATTGCTCGTACTTCAAGAATAACCGAATCACCATTTCTATGAAGTAGACCAGGTGATCCGGGTCCGGGGTGGATCCATAAAATCAATGAACGATTTCCGGTTTCCATTTTGTGGAACCAAACCTTAGCGAATGGTTCCTCCCATTTTAGAACCGATCATCTATACTTTTAACAAATGATAAATTCAGGTTAGTGATATTAAATTTGAGATTTTTTACGATATGAAAATTAATTCAGGGTAAATATGTCATGGATATCATTTTTGGGATTTTTTATGAGACAAAATAATTTATGGTCAACATGGCATGTTATTTTTCAAAAATGATACTTCTACGAAACATTTACCTCATGCTATTTTTCATTTCACAAGAAAATCCAAATTTGTACCCCACCAAAATCTATCATGAGTTGGCATTCCGTGTAATGTCTAATTAAAACGCATACGTGTCAACATACATGAAAAAAACTACAAGACAGATTTGACGTGGAGATCGACCAATCCGACGTGTGTTGACCCGTGTCCATTTTAACTAGGGGTGTGCAAAAGAATTAGAACCGCTCGGACCGCCTAGACCCAGTGAGTACAAGTCTGGTTTCCGATTTTAAATGTGGAACTGCCCATTCGGACCGGACCGCTACTCTCTCCTTTCAGTGAAAGAAAGAAATCAAACCTTTTAGCTTTACTCCCCTTCCCTTCTCAACTCCTCGCTTCAGTCCTCCACCTCCTCGCGCACAGCAAACCCTAGCCCTCCTTCGCCTCATCTCGCTCTCACGTCACTTATCTCCCTCTCGCCTCTCGCTCTAGCCTCTCGATCGCCTCGCCGTAAGCCGGATCGTCGAGTCTCCGCCTTTCTGGTCGGTCAGTTCGCAAGTTTCCAGCTCTCTATTCTAGTTCAAGCTGTCTACTTGAGCTGTTTAGTTTTCATCATTGAGCATATTTTGGAATATGCAGAGGACCCACGATGAGAATATCGCTCGTACTTCTCATTGATGCTCCTTGCTTTGGTCAGTTGATTCGTTGCTCCTTGATTTAAGGTCAATTCTAGTCATTGCGGTGGTCATATTGCTCGCACTTCAAGAATCACCGAATCACCATTCCTACGAAGTAGATCGGTTGGTCTAGGTCCCGAGTGGATCCATAAAATCAATAAGAGATTTTCGGTTCCCATTTTGTGGAACCGGTCCTCAGTGGACGGTTCCTCCCTTCTTATAATCAATCACTCATAATTTTAACAAATAATAGATTCTAGTTAGCGATACTAAATTTGAGATTTTTTATGATATGAAAATTAATTCAGGGTAAATGTGTCATGGATATCGATTTAGATTTTTTAGTCAAATGAAAATTAATCTGCGGATTTGAGGCTTTTTAATGGTATTAACCTTGCTAAAAGTTACAAGTCAAAATGAAACGAGCCACGGGAGATACATAACAACATATAGGAAAGGTTCATTTAATGGGGTGATTTACGGTGTACCGAATATAACCAATTTTCAAATTCTGGACGCCAGCAAGCAAACGGTAACTAGTTTTGAAATTCTGGAGAATTTACCGCTGCTGCCGTCCGATGGGAAGCGTGCTTGTCTGGCGCGATCTCATTGGCCGGCCCGCCGCATCTTAGAACGAAGGCGGCTTCAGAGGAGCAATTTTACCCGCGGTAAAAAGAAGTCAAAACCCTTTTATCCGCGACGGACAGTGTAAAAGACAAGTCCTCCGAATTTACCGCCGCTCAATAAGATGCCGGGCTAGGACACGCGCTGTTTTGGGCGCGTGAGACGAATAGCATCACTGATCGTGGCCTTGCGAAATGGACAATTGTACTCGTCGAAAACAAGGATTAGTCATTCGAACAAAAAAACAAAAAAACAAGGATTAGTCACTTCCGAAGAAAAAGGAATCTTTGATTGGCGATTTGTTCTTTGAATTTGTGTAACATTTCGAGATGAATCTTCCCGTGTACACAAAATTGAATAAAAAAAAGATCGTTCAAAAAAGATGCCTGAGCGATGAAATATCGCCTCTCGAAATGAGCCGTGGAAATGGACGAAGAATCTCATTGTAGATTGACTTTTACGAGGTTTTCCAAATCTCAAGGTAAGTTAAAACAAGTTAACTTTGAGATTGAAAGTAAATTGAATAACGCCACATTAACTTGAAATATTGTGAAATTAGTGAGCCGGAGAGTCGATATGCTGAAAATAACCCAAAAAATGGACTAAGAATGCCCAAAAACATAGGTAATCGCCTGACTTTACCTAGAACCGGTCCGAATGGTGCCGATCTAGAATAGCATCGAATTGGTTGGAAAAGGGCAAAATCAGTCGGAAAAGGGCTGAACCGGTCGGAAATGCGACTGAATCGGTCCAGTCAGCAGGTCAGGCCGCTAAGCCATTGTCGCGGACGACGTCAGCCACATGGGGAGCGTCCGTAGGTGCATGGACCTCACATGCGGAGAGCAAAGTTGGCTCGTGCGGCCGCCGGAGGCGATGCAATTGAGTTAGTAGGGAGACTCGTCGAAGCTTTGAGGAGGCTGATGGTGGTCGTTGGTGGAAATGAGCCCGCGGAAATGGATGAAAGAAGCTCCCAAAGGCTCCGGCTCAGTGAATCGCCGGGGGTGGTGGAGCGTGCGGTGACGTTCGATCTCCGTTCTTGACGGGGTTTTTGGGTCTGACTCGCCGGAGGATGGCCGGGCGGCCGGTGGTGTTTATTTCGTGCAACAAGCACAGGAAATTGTGGGCATAACGCTCTCTCCATCAACAAAAGCTTTAACAGATTCGTGTGGTAGCTACGGTCATTCGTTCACAGCAAAAATTTAGCACGTGGTTCGTCCGAGGGCGGCGAATCCAATGGTGATGTCCGTTTCTCGAAATGAGCAGCTTAAGGTCGTGGATCAAGGGGCAAACGACATGCGTCCTTTGCGGAAATGGCCACTGAACAGACGGTCGAATCGGCTGGTGCACGACGCGGCCGGTGCAGTTAGTGTCGTAACGACCAAGCCGAGCAAACACAAGAACATAATATCTGTAAAAGCCCCTACATGAATGAATAGCACACCAAGAATGGAATTTTGTATTTCAGAAAGCACCAAGACCTCAATTTTCGTTCCATTTCACGCAGTCTCCCGCAATTAGACTAAAAAAATTCTAGCAAATGCACCCCCTCCCTAATCCCGCGGCGAAATAAAAAGTGGGGGGACTCGAAACTCGCTACCCGCGAGCGACCTCTCTCTCCGTCGACCGCCGCGAGCCAAACCCTCTTTCCGCGCCGCTGGCCGTCGCAGCCAGGTACACCCCACCCCCGCCCCGCTCTCTCTCTCTCTCTCTCTCTGCCCCCCCCACGCGCCGGCCCTAGCTCAAGGCGGGTCTCGTTCGATTGCCGCCGATTCCTGATCTTGCATTGAAGTGCTTCGAGTTTCCTTGCGCTCTCTGCGCGCGCGCGCTCGTGTGGGGAGGAGCTATAGCTTTTGTGCGCCGCTTCAGTGGCGAGACGAGGGAGGTTTTGTGGAGGAGCGCCGGGAATTTTTCTTGGAGTCTCCAATTGCTTTCTCGCCGGCGGCGAGCCGGTTCACCCGTGCTCCGTGGCGTTTCGGTTTTTTGCTTACACCGGTAGTTAGGGGTTTGGGCCCGTTGGGCGATTTTGAATCCGGGTCGAAGAAGGTGGAAGCATTCTCACCGAGCCTTCGGATATAAATTTCTGCTCGCTTACCATAGGGTTGTTGACGAGGAACGAATAGGGGGGTTTTTGTATTTGCTCGCGCTTTCGTATGCAGAGATTTATCGAGTTCTAGGTGTGACTTTTGAGGAATTGGCAAGAGATTTATCATGTTTCTTGCCAATTGATGCTTGTTCTCTGAATATTGGCGGGGTGCGATTGCTCGGCGCTTCGGTTTTCTTCGGGTTTTTCCGATTTAGCCGCCATCAGGGACTTGATTCATTGGTCAAATCTGTTTGGGGTTTGCACGAAGCTGTGCTTTCGCAGGATTCGGATGTGGGTTTCTGGCATGTTATTGAATACCATCTTGACTTTATCTCCAGTTTAAATGTAGAGTCGAACGTCTGAATCACCAGAATAGGTTCCAATTCCATAGGTTTTGCTGAAGGCTACGTCACAAAACAAACCTCGAGGCTTTTAGTGGTGTTTGGACATCTCAACGGTCTCGTCTACTCTCCTTGTTCGACATCTAGATTTGGTCCTTTTTTTCCCTCGTTAATTGATGTAAATAATGGCAGCTGCAAAGTTGATATTTCTAGTATGAGTGCTGGCTGTAGAGGCATCGATAGTTTTCAGAAGAAATGCTTTTGAACCTAGATTTGATTTAATTTCCTCTCAGACCTTTGTTTAATAGGATGACATGTTGCTCTTGTGAAGTGTGTCGTCTTCCACTTCTCAGAATTTTATCTATAGGTACCTAAAATAGATCCAAGATTGGTGATCTTTGTCTAGGATATTACTTGTTCGAACAGGAAAGAACATTCTTCTTTTCTCTTTCCCTTTTCCCCTGAAAAAGGATTTTCAAGAACATAATCTGTAAAATGTTCCATTGCTACTGCCTATTGGTGTGATAAGTAATTCAGTTGTTCTGTCCTTTTAAAACAATTTTCCATATCCCCGTAAAATGCCCTTTGTCACTGCGAAGTTCTGATGCTTCTAATTTCAAAAGCGCACTAAGCTATTCCGGTGGATGCTTCCGCATAACTATAATTTTGCAGGGTCCTGACTGATGCTGGCAATGCATGTTTATGCTGTTCTGTTTGCGAGATAAAGTTGCTGCTCATTACTATAGAATTCAAATCATAGCGTCCCAAACAGAAATAGAATACTCATCTATGGACATTGATAGGCTCTCTTTTTATGTCGTAGGTTGTGTAAATTGCCAAGTTCAATCACCAGTTTTTCCTCTATGTCCTAGAATATACCGGCTTTCAAGTAGATTTATCAATCACGAGTGACACTTTTAAATTGCTCCATTACTTATTGCATCCAATCTCTTCCTGAATTTTCTCAGCACAATCTTATTTCTGGAAGGGCTATTGATAGCTTGTGTTTAGTTGGAGTTTTGTTGAAGCACCAAAGTGAGATTATGTATGGTTGCTCATGTATTAATAGTTTTCTTGGTCTTTTCATTTGTATATGGAATTCAATTTTCTGAATGACTGTTGCTATTGATGGTTTAGTAGGTTCGGTTCTAACTTCTGCTACATTGAAGCTTTGGCAGGTGTTTAAGAGTGCCCCTCTTTTCATATCTTCAAAAGGTCAGTCAAGATAACAAGTTTTCTTTCATTAGGTTTAAGTATGTTTGTACTTGCACTTGCAATAATATACTTATTCTGAGGTGGGACTAATTATAAAAAGCATCTTCTTCATACATTGGAAGATGTATCATAAACATTGTATCGAAAATTTGATCAGTTAATAACTTCTCATAATCGATGAGCTAAACGATGACTAGTGGAAACAGAACAATATCATGAAGGAAAGTCAAATTGTTCTGACACAAATGTGAGTCTTGCGAATTTTGTTGGTAATTATTTAGCAGTAATCCTTGTAATTGGATAAATATGCACCTATACCCATCCTACTTTGATTGAAATAGACAAGGATGATGGTCTACTTGCTCCTTCGAGCAACTGTCAAGTTTGCTTGCACCACTTCATTTCTAAGTTCTGTTACTTGCTTATTACCTATATCATGATGTAAAGTGAGGATACACACTTTGTTTTTCCCATAATATGTTCATCATCTGCTGGTTATAATCTTATTCTGTCTTTTTCTTTAACAATATCGTATTATAACTTGATCTTTGCATATGCTTATATACCTCTACCGAGTACTGACAGGAGTGCCCAATATTTATAGGAATAGGCTGGAAGTCCTGGAAAAGCTGGTTTATCCTCACACCTCTTCTTGGTTTTCTTCAAAAATGATACTGTTAGTATCATTCACATTATTTAATGTGAAGTATCTCATTGTAGATTGACTTTTCTGAGGTTTTCCAAATCCTGAACTTAAAAAAGCCCAAAACATATCTCAAACATAACACTTTTTAGTAAAGTTTGACATGTCCTAAGTCCTCTTGCAGTTCTGATGACTTCCATTGATGTTGAACCTCGCTTCTCATCTTCTTCTTCGACGAAGAACAGCTTTGCAGAATCAACATTTGCTTTTCCACAACAATCTCGTGAAGCATCGCTTACTGTCGTTGCTGTTGTTGTCGCCGCAAACACAGCAGATATCGCAGTATGTGAGGACAACCTCGAGTCCTAGCCTGTCAATATGGAGGAGGAAGAAGGAGATCGGGAAAGAGGGTTTGATTGTGGCCAAGGAGCTCAAGCGTCTCCAATCCAACCCAGTCCGGCTCGACCGGTTCATCAAGTCCCACGTCTCGCGGCTGCTCAAGTCCGACCTAGTCTCTGTCCTTGCCGAGTTCCAGAGGCAGGATCAGGTCTTTCTCTGCATGAAGGTTTGTCATTTTTGTTCACTTGGTATTGGATTTGGCGCATTGTTTTAGTTGATAACTGGACTGGTCTTGAGATCAGAGAGGCAAAAGCAGATGCAGATAGATTAGGGAGGCCAAAATAACAAATGGAAAATCTTAGCTTGGAAGGGAAAATAAAGAACTTTTATGTGAACTTTCAATGGTTATAGAATATATTACTTAAATGTGCACCGAGCACCTAGTAATTGGGGGCCGCGACCAGGGGACGACAATCCTGACAGCTCCTTTTGGTCTGTTTTCAGAGGAGAGACAATATAAGGTGGTTGAACCTGCAGTCAACTTCCTGTTTGTTGATAAGAGAAGTGATGGAAGGTGTTTAATTTTCATATTGTCTGTAAGATTCAATATGAATGAGATGCTAAGACGCTAGATGGTCATGTCCCGTGAAGGTGATCATTAGTTTTAGCTACTTTCTGTGCGGTGAAGTTTTCATTTTGACAACTGGAGAATCATTCTGTCCTTTGTCACTTGAGTGGTCTTTCCAACTTCTTGTGAAACTCTGTGCAAGATTTAATACGTTGTCAGACAAAGGTTGCCTGGATAAAGGTCAAACATACAAGGTTCAGTGTACTTGTCGGTGGAATATTAGCAACTGCTTGATCATTGTAACTGCCTCGAACTAGCCAGGCCATGATAACCGTTTGACTACAGTATTGCTGAGCGATGTTGTCCCTATGATAGAATCATCGAATGTCACTGGTGTTTGCATTGTGTTTATTTTTATTTTTTTTCATGTTAAAAGAGAACATATTTGATTGGGATTTTAGCGATGTCTTATATGTTTTTTCAGTTGTATAATGTGGTGCGCAAAGAGATATGGTACCGGCCGGACATGTTTTTCTACAGGGACATGCTGATGATGCTCGCAAGGAACAAAAATGTGCATGAGTTGAGGCGTGTGTGGGAAGATCTGAAAAGGGAGGAAGTTCTGTTTGATCAGCACACTTTTGGGGACATAATGAGGGCCTTCTTGGATAGCGGACTGCCCTCGGAGGCTATGGAGATATACGACGAAATGAGACAGTCTCCTGATCCTCCACTCTCGCTGCCTTTCCGCGTGATATTGAAAGGGCTTATTCCGTACCCAGAATTGAGAGAGAGGGTGAAGGACGACTTCCTGGAGCTCTTTCCGAGCATGATTGTGTACGACCCACCTGAAGACTTGTTCGAAGATGAAGAATTGATAAAGGAGAGTGAAGATGATTAGAGGCGCTCTTCATGAAGTGGTGTTATATATCTTTGGACTCATCACTCCTTTTTCTTATTTACAGAATGAGTCTTCCTAAGGTACTCTCATTGCTCGATTTCATCCTTTTAACTAACACTCGTGTCAACGGATTGTCTTCCTGGAATTTTCTAATTCCGTTTGGTAGAAAACGATAACTTTTGTTCTCTCTTGAGTGTCATTTTGGTAATAGCTTTTGATTTTCATCTTTGCGTTGATGTAAAATGGAAAGTAGTTCATTGTAAAGAACTGCTTCTCTTCTGCGTCTTCTGAAAATCTGTTGCCTGCGGCGGTGGCGGCCAACCACTAGGTGCTCGGTGCACATTTTAGTGGTAATTTACTACAACCATTTGAACTTCATATAAAACTATTCTGTTTTGCCCCTCCATGCTAGGGTTTATAATTTATTTCGTCTCCCTAATCTAAGGATCTGCGTCCGCTACTACCTCTCTAAACTCAAGACCGGTTTTGATCATTGGCTAAAATACTCTCGAAATGCTCCGAATCCAATTCCAAATGAACAAAAACCGATGAACCTTCGTGAGACCCGATCCTTTCCTCTGGAACTCAGTGAGGACAGCAAAAAGGTTGGACTTCTCTTTTTTTTGGGTCGGAGGTTGGACTTGAGCAGCCACGAGAAGTGGGGATTTGAACTAGTCGAGCCAGATCGGGTCGGATGGGAGATGCTTGAGCTCCTCAACCGCAATGAAGCTCTTTCCCGGATCTCCTACTTCTTCCTCCGTATCGATAATCAAGGGCTCGAGCTTGACATCGAGGTCATCCTTGCATGCTGTGAAATCTGCTGCCTTTGCAGTGACGAGCAGCAACGCAAACAAGCGAACGAGTGATGTTGCGCGAGGCTGTTGTGGAAAAGCAAGTGTTGAGTCCGGGAAGTGGTTCCTTGAGACAATGAACGTGTTCTGATCAAGTCGAGACGCGAATAAACGAAGTTCTTCGCGTGCCAAGTCACTTGATTTACAAGAAACTGGATATGAAAACTTCGATTATCAACATTGTTTAAAGTAGAAAACCAATAAAGAAATGAGGACGGGTCACGCTATATTAGCACGTGTCATGCTTGAAATGCATTCTAGCCCTTTGTTTTTTTTCCTTTTTCTTTTTTGAAGTTTAGGATTGCTAAAAAGAGATAATCATTTTCCCCAAATCTAAGGACAAGTTTTCATTGAGAATGGAAATATATTCCGTCAATTTTGAAACAATTCAAGCGCCAAACAATAAAGCAAATATTCCCTCCCGCGGTAAGTTTTTCGCGAAATAACTGGTCGTTAAAATTCGGGATTGAAGAGTAAAGATATTCGACTTTCGCTACTAAGATAAAAGTTGGAAACCAAGATTGCAGTTCTCGCCGAATACACGATTTGAACCCGGAGGGGAAAAGCTTGTCCTAACCGTTGATGAGCGGCCCCAGAAATTACAAAATACCGTTAGTTTTCTCAACCATTTGCCCTGACGAAAAACCTTTACCCTTCAAGAATTGCCCGACTCTTCGCTTCCAAACACGCAAGAACCCTTCATTGTCCCCTAGCCCCATCTCTCCTCAGCTGCAATCTTTCCCTTTCTTGATTTTTTTTTCCTTTCTTTTTCTCTTGATCCTGGACAATCCTTTCCTTAATGGAATCTAGATCGACTTATCCGAAGGAAAGATTAAAAGTCCAAATTTGACCCGACACCGTCCGGTTCCTGCCTGGTCATCGCGTCGCCGCCGCCAGCATGGGCAACCGCTGCTCGGGGGGCATTGGTCGCGGTGCCCCGAAGGGGAACCTACAGAAAGTGGGGTCTGCCACGGAGAACGCGAGCAATCCAGAGGGCAAAGCCGCCCCGAACGATAATGTGTCTGTCCCGCCAAAGTTGGCAACCCCTAATTCCAAGCCCTCCAAGCTGGCCCCGCTTGGCCCCGTCCTCAACCGGCCGATGGAGGACGTCAGGGCTGTGTACTTGATAGGGAAAGAGCTTGGCCGGGGACAGTTCGGCGTCACGTACTCGTGTACCGACAAGGCGACCGGTGAGCAGCTCGCTTGCAAGACGATCGCCAAGAGGAAGCTCGTGAGCAAGGAGGACATCGAGGATGTGAGGAGGGAAGTCCAGATCATCACCACTTGACTGGCCAGCCCAACATTGTGGAGCTGAAGGGGGCTTATGAGGACAAGCACTCGGTTCACTTGGTGATGGAGCTGTGCGCTGGCGGGGAGCTGTTCGACCGGATCATAGCCAAGGGGAATTACACGGAGCGTGCCGCTGCGTCGCTGCTCAGGACAATCGTTCAGATTGTGCACACGTGTCACTCTATGGGGGTCATTCATCGGGACCTCAATCCCGAGAATTTCCTTCTGTTGAACAAAAACGAGGACTCGCCACTTAAGGCCACCGATTTCGGTCTATCAGTGTTCTTCAAGCCAGGTTGGCCTCTTAATCCTCTAGTCACATTTTACATGTTCCTGATGAAAGCTAATGATTTCCAAAGTGGGAAAGATAGCGAATTTCTGGTTTGCTCAGGCCCTAGTAGATGGTCCTCTAGCTAATCAGTGCTAGAATGACCGGTTTTCCATTCGCTGAGCGTGGCTAATTAGAGAAGCAAGTTTGACATTAGCTCGTTTTGTTGTTCTTTGGGCAGGAAATACATTTCAAGATGTAGTTGGAAGTGCATATTACATTGCACCGGAAGTTCTGAAGACGAAATATGGACCAGAGGCTGACATTTGGAGTGTCGGCGTGATGCTATATATTCTTCTCTGTGGAGTTCCCCCTTTTTGGGCACGTAAAGATGGCCATTGTCAATTTCCATTGTTTCCTGTTCTTTTTGTCCATTTCACATCTTAAACTAATTAATTTCAAGACTGTCTGACTGAGTCGGCAATCAGTTCTAGGAATAAGAATTTCTCGTTATGATGCTTAAAATGAGATGCTTTGCATGGACAGAGTCAGAAACCGGGATTTTCAATGCGATCTTACGTGGCCACATTGATTTTAGCAGTGATCCGTGGCCATCGATCTCGCCGGGGGCAAAAGATCTCATCCGCAAGATGTTGAACTCCGACCCTGAGCAGCGGCTAACGGCTTTTGAAGTTCTTAGTAAGTATTTTTGCGAAGGAATGTTTTGATTTTCAGTAAGTTTATATATGCTGCAACTGCAAGAATCAGGGTTAGAAATATTTCGACACTGTCTTGTTCTAATGACATTATATTCTGAGGAATCGCCAAACATTTTAATAGATCACCCATGGATTAAGAAGGATGGAGAAGCACCCGATACCCTTCTCAACAATGCGGTGTTGGATCGCCTCAAGCAATTCAGAGCGATGAACAAGTTCAAGAAAGTAGCTCTTCGGGTACTAATTGAGTGATTGACGGAAAGAGGGTGCCAAATTACCAAATTGAGAGGCTAGATGTTTCTGCTAGTACTGATCCTTAGATTCTCTAAATGCAACACAATAGGTCATCGCTGGATGTCTTTCAGAGGAAGAGATAAGAGGATTGAAGGAGATGTTCAGGGGCATGGATACCGACAACAGCGGTACAATAACACTAGAGGAGTTGAAGCAAGGGCTCTTGAAGCAAGGGACAAAGCTGTCGGAGTACGAAGTTAAACAATTGATGGAAGCTGTAAGTCAACTCTATTTTATTTGTCAATATTTCGGCATCCCTGGAGACTAATCACGTCGAATAAGGGGGCTACAATTATTCATGCAACCGGAATACATGTTCGCATGCATAAACATGCTAATACCTTCTCTTCTCTCTGTTTTTCTGTTTCCTTGGATGAAGGCCGATGCTGATGGTGATGGAACCATAAACTACGATGAGTTTATTACAGCAACGATGCACATGAACCGGATGGACAGACAAGAGCATCTTTACACGGCCTTCCAGTTTTTCGATAAAGACAATAGCGGGTATGAGTCGTAAGAAGGTTTATATAAGTGCATTTCAATGTCCAACCACAAGAACAGTACAGGCTCATTGCTATGTGTAAGTTTAAGTGAGTGAAACCCACAAAAAACTACTGCTAAGTCTTTTATAGAACCAATGAAAAACATTTGTATCTTGTATGTTTTATAGATCAAGCATCGAATGTTGCTTTTGGATGCAGCAAAAGTTACAGAAGGTTATAATCTCGCAGATTATAGTTGAACTCTTTTAATGATGCGTACAGGTATATTACAACAGAGGAACTTGAACAAGCTCTTCGAGAATACGGCATGCACGACGGAAGGGACATCAAAGAAATCATTTCGGAAGTTGATGCCGACAATGAAAGTCGCAAAAAACACATTGATCGTTGCATTGACTATGCAAAAACTCTCGATCGCTCTCTGTTTGAGTACTTATGACATGCGATTCTTACGGGATGGCCGAATCAATTACGACGAGTTTGTTGCAATGATGAGAAAGGGGAATCCAGAAGTGAATCCGAAGAAGCAATGCGATGTATTTGTCTGACGATGTAATTTCGGAAAAACGTAATGAAAAAAGAACAAAAATCTCATCCTTTTGAACCCTAATGTATCTTTTTGTTTCAGCTGGAGTAGTTCGTGGACCATTAAAGCTGACATTTTGATAATACAGGGCGTTACATGTACACATCACTGCTTTAAAGGGAAGAACTTGGGAGGATACATGGTGGCTAGATGCGGGCTCAGCAATGCATACGTTGTTAGGGGAGTTTCTGAGTCAAAGCTGTACATTCTCATCCTTGTTATTCTCCAAGAGTTTTATCCAACATTTTTAAGGTTCGCTTGTAAGGTAGGAGAAATTGTTCGTATGCTAAATGCAACGTGTGGTTGGCAGTGACGCGGGTGAAAATAAGCTAAGTGCGCGCAAATGAGAACCTTTTCAAATTCAAATATGAAGTTGATTGGGATGCATACCATTTGAGGCCGAATGACCGAATGGTCAAAATATAGAAAACCCTTGTAGCTAATTCATGGAACACTATATAAAATGTGAGCGGCCGGTCTTCACTACAAGTTGAGAGAATTTGTTGGGCAGAACTTAAAGGAGCTACAAACTCTGGTTTCAAGTTCTGTAATGGCGCAATGAACAAGAAGACGACTGAAAGAGGGAAGGTTTGAGACAGCCTTGGGTTCTTGCGCGGGTCACTGAAATAATGCAGTAGGGCCCGTACGACGGGGCGTCGCATCATCATTTCAATAGCTGATCTTTCCCCATTTGGTCCGATCCATCATCGATCGCGGTCTCGCGTTTGAGATGGGCAGAGGCCATTCGCAATGCACGGCGAGAATCGTGGAGGAGGACGGTGGTAGATGGACACGCGCGTGCATGTTCCGTCAACTAACTCCAACCGTTGGCTGTCCAGGAGAAAGCGGTCGCTCTTGCGCGGGTCACTGAAATAATGCAGCCGGGTCCGTATGAATTTCAATGGCTGATCTTTTCCCATCTGGTCTGATCCATCATCGATCGCGGTCTCGCGTTTGAGACGGGCAGAGGCTATTCGCAAAGCACGCTGAGAATCGTGGAGGAGGACGGTGGCAGATGGACACGCGCGTGCATGTTCCGTCAACTAACTCTGACCGTCGGCTGTCCAGGAGAAAGCGGTCGGCTCTTTTCGCTTGGGCTCCATCGAGTCGAGACGTCATCGTGTGTTCTCTCTTCGGATATCGCGACATCGTTACGATAATCTATCACATGCAACGCAAGGATGGAGAGAGGCACGAGGAAAACAGCCAATGGATCGTGGGACTCTTGTTAGGTTACCTGTCGTCCTCCGTTGAATAATTTAAAGCTTCAGGTCACGTCCGAGATTCGACGCCCGACACATGCTAACCTGATTGGCTTGTCAATCCAAAACGCTCCTTTCGCTGCACATCCCACTGCATCCAGCTGCACATGCGCCGCAAAAGCTTACTTCGGATCAAGCGTCACTGTGTTCTCGAAGCTCCGGATTTTTTCCTCGATGACAAAGCACAGAATCAAAAGCTTTGCCTTTGCGAAGATATCTTGCCTCACTGGTATATTTCTGCCCACTGCTTCATCATTTTAATTTTCGGGATATGTAGTCATAGCTGCATAGAACTCAAAGAACCGACACATCGCATAAGGGGACGGTTGCCGGGTGATACAGGCCAACACTGACGAGGTCGTCGGTTCTTTAAGTAGGCGAGTCTGTGACATTGCAAGCCCCAGAACAGTTGGAAATTGCCCTATAGAGTGATTAATAAGTTAAACACCTACCTCAAATGGCCACCATCTCGCCGGGTACTTCTACAAATGATGACCGTTGCATTATGAATGAACCAATCTTGATTGATTATTGAAAACCTTTGAGGTGTTTGCGAAATACGACATTTTCTATAGGGGGTAAGATAAATTGCATTTGAGTACGATGTTTTTAGGACAACATATCGGTCCCTCAAGGGATCATAGAAACCCTTCGTGTGTGGTAACTTCGGATACTCTTTTTAAGGGTTTACTGCATTTGCCATTTACACAAAAGGAAACAATCAAATAAAAGGCAGAAAAATAAAAAAAAAATGAAGCAAAGAAATATTCAATAACGCTAGCGAAACCATTGTTCTGGTCAAGTATTACGTTGAATTTCCAACAAAATCTTGCTAGAGTTATCCTCACTCAATGAACAATTTGTACTCTCTCTCTTTCAACGTACATGTACGATTTTTATTTTTAGGACGTAATTTAATTCCATAGACAGGTTGATACTTCCTTTCTGAAATTACAAGTGCAAATCTTTTTTTTTCAGAATGACGATGTATATTATCCTCAAGTGCTAATTTTCTAATGAACTCGAAAAATTAAATAGTTAGGTTAATTGAAGTCTCGGGAATGACCCAAAAAGCTGATCTGTTTATTTATTTATTTTTGTATCCTCGGCAAAACTTCCCATAAGGTCCCCTGAGATTTTTCTCTCAGTACAAAAAAGTCTAATTAAGATCGGATTAGGGTTTATGCAAAACTTCCCATCAGGTCCCTTGCATTGCGGTCTCTCTAAGTCATCACACTAATGATATGATTACTTGTCAGACCATATAAAACGCATGACCGAGGCAAACCACATGAAGGAATTCATCTCGGGCACAACAGCCACAGTGCAAATCGTGGCGAATCGTATTAGGTTAAGTAATTTTCGCTTATAATAGTAATCAACACGTGGCGCTGTAGCAATCACATCGGTGAAGAGTCAACGACAAGGCTTCTTATCTAACTAATGAAATTATTGTTTTGTAATAAGCAAGTTGTAAAGTGGAATTACTGATGAAATATAAACTAAATCGCCATCTCAATCATGAGCTCAGCTAAATCAACCGGCCACTTCTTTGTCTTGTCATTGTCGCTAATATTTATACCTAATCTTTCTGCACTACATAAAGTCAGCTAAATCAACCGGCCACTTCTTTGTCCTGTTATTGTCGCTAATATTTATTATCCCTATTCACTTTGCACTACAAAAAGTCAAAAAGCTTCAGATCAGAGCGAGAATGGTAGATGAAGTTTTCCCTTCGCGAGGACGTTTTTTGTTTTCAAATAATATCATAAAAAATTTCAAATTAATATATTCGTGATAAATTTATTTTAAATTAATTTTTTAGTCATAAAAAATTTCAAACTGGTACACCTATAATATATTTACCCTAAACTAATTTTTTGACCATCAAAAATCCCAAACTGGTATATTTATGACAAATTTACCCTTCTTCAAATTAGATTAATATCACGAAAAATCACAAAATGGTACACACGTGATAAACGGAGGGTAAAACCCCAAACTGGTACACCCGTCAACTATCATGTGACATCCAACTAAAAAATTTGACAGTAAAATTTAACGAAAATTAACAGAGGGTAAAATTGTCATAGGTGTACCAGTTTAGGATTTTTCGTGATCAAAAAATTAGTTTGGGGTAAATTTATCACAAATATATCAGTTTGGAGTATTTCGTGGTATTAACCCTTTTTTTTTTTATGATGGTGAAATGCCATGTAAGAAAATCATTGCACGAACAACATTGAAGCATCCATGAAAAAATTCATTTTATTAATGGAAGAGAATTTTCATTCCAGATTCCATGTGTGGAAAAATATTATACACTGGTGGACAGGTGTCGGGGCTTCAATTTTCTTTTGATCATGATTTTCTTTATACTATCAGCGTACCAAGTAAAAAGGCGTAAAAGCAACTTCCTCAAAGTATGTGCTTTATAAAATTTGAAGACCTCTGCGACCAAAAAAAAGATATTTGAAGGCCTCTCGACCATGTTATTTCTACTTTTGATAAACTTAACTAGTTTCTGGAATAGTTATTAACAAGTTCCGATAAAAAAGAAAAAGCACGATTGTGTATGTGTATATATATGTGAAGTACTAGATTTTTGAGAAGCAACCTGTCTAAAATTTGATAAATGGAGGTGCATGTCACACATACGTTTACGTTGATATTACACTCTATTCAAGGATTGTTGCTGGGTGATATGGGTCGATATTGATGAGGACGTCGGTTCTTTAAGTGGGCGGGTCTGTAACGTTCCAAGTCCCAAAATAGTTGGGAAATGCATTGTCGAGTGATTAATTAGCTGACCCCTTCGCCAAATGGTCATCATCTCACCGGGATGGTGATCGTTGGATTACAAAAGAACCAATCTTGATTGATCATTGAAAACCTTTGAGGTGTTTGTGAAATACGACATTTTCTATAGGAGGTACAACAAATTGGACTTGTGTAACATCCACGGTTCTGGTCCCTGTATCGATCGTGGGAAACGGCCAGGAAATCAATGTGCCGATAGTGGGGATCGGCCATGGACCAATCCAACAATCGGCCATGAACCGATTGACCTGACTGGAAAGGGCGACTGAGGACCAACTATGGTCCAATCAAAGGATTGGTTATGAGTTGACCAAGGGAACAGCAGTGAATCGATCCACTGATAACGTAAGTCGACCAAAGCTATTCTGCCGTGGATCGGCAACTGGACCATGAGGGTCGGTCATGGGACGATCACGCACTGTCACGGATCGATTCCGCGCAATCATGCATCAGCCGCAGGTGATTCCGCTCGATCATGCATCGGTTGCGGGCGACCATGGACCGATTCCATGCGACCATGCGTAGGTTACGAATCGATCGATTCCACGCGATTACATGATAACCGAGGGTCGATCATGGATTGGCTATGCTCGACCATGGCTTGGTCACGAACCAGGCCTTGGATCGTTTGCAAGAGATTATGGACCAGGCACGGATCCAATCGTGCGCATGGTTAGTTCCGGCGACGGATCCAACCCTATGCCTTGCCAGTTTTGACCCTGGACCCAGCCCTGCGCTTATCCAGTTTCGACCATTGGACCCAGCCACGTCGGTCAGGCTCGGCCAAGTCTGGCTACGCCCGGTCGCGAATTAGCCACGAATCTAAGTCTAAATAAGATAGTCGATCATGGATGAACAGGAGAAACTCTTGCCCAATGATGTAGGCACTTACATCGACTTCTCTCTCATGCTCACATAATGTTCCTTGGATGTTAGTAATTAAATGAAGATGGTGACTCACCAACTTAGGTGGCAAGGAACTTGGGTGACAAGGAATTAAGTGGCAACTTATGTGGCAAGTTACCTTAGGCAATCAATGTGGGCATTTAATGAAGAAGATGAATCACCCTCTTAGATGGCCAATAAGAGATTTGATAATCATTACCATGAGATTTGACTTGGAGAACAAGTTAGGCTAAGTCATCATTATTTGGTGACTCATTAGCCAAGTGAACCAATAGGAAAAATATACCAAGGATCCTTAATCATTTCCTAGGACCTTAGGGCGCCACATAACCAAGATAGCCAAGCCACTTTAAGAAAACTCATCGGACCACTTGTTAGGGCATTTAATGAGGGAAAGGCTTATAAATAAGGCACCACCCCCTTCTTTCTCACCATCCTTGGCTCACTTCTTCTTCTCCTTTCCTCTTGCGCCCTCTCTCCTTCTTGGCTTTGCTTGCCGTTCGCCTTCATCATTTATTCACCACTCAGCCATTTGTCGCCACTCGGTCAAATAGTTAGTGAAATTACTAACCCTTAGCTAGGACGATATCCTACGTTGTTGAATTTGGACGTGTGCTCATCTGTACTTTGTCGTATGTATGATCAGGAATGCTTTTGTTTGGTTTGCTCATGTCTTGCATTCATGAGGATGAACACGGCCTGGGTCATGAACGAGTCTCGTTCTGTTATGGGAATCGGCGTTGAGGTTTAATGGTTCGGGTCTCGCTTGGCACTAGATCGGCATTTATGCGTGTCGGCTCAAGCCTCGTTCGACTTTAGACAGACATCAATGCGTGTCGGCTCAAGCCACGAGTCACGTGTCGCGCTCGGTTCATCAGTTTAGCTGTGATATTATAGGCCATGACACACATACACACCTGTATGAGCATGCCTTTGGGCTTTGTTTGCATTGGCTAAGAAACAAAGATAAGAATCCGACTTGCGTGAATGCTTGTTGTGTGGTCACATAAAGGAAATAGCTTTCGCTAATGGATTTTGGTGACGTTGCCTGGTGGATTTCGGATGCCCAACTTGAAGCTGGAAGCTCCTAAAAGTGTGGGATGCCTGGTGGATTCCAGATGCCCAGCTTGAAGCCGGAAGCCCCTGAGAGTATGGGATGCCCGGTGGATTCCGGATGCCCAGCCTGAGGCTGGAAGCCTTTGAAAGTATGGGAAGAACCGTGTGAGACGGTTAATGAACCTTTGATGCATGTTGATGTGTGTTGTTATTAAGTTTATTGATAAGCCGAAGGTAAATCGTATCTTGACAGTAAGCCGAAATTGATCACATGCATATAGTCGAGATACAGCAATAGTATTACTATTGATCTGCCATCGATGCTGTGGTGCAAGTGATGTTCGCATGCTGGGTTCGACGACGAGACATCCTCCTAACTTAAGATTAGTGATTTTACTCACTGAGTCTTTGACTCACTCCGTTGTCTTTTCAAACTTATAGGTATAGACGTCTCACCTCCTCTTCATCATGGTATACCAATTTTGGAGTTGCAGCCTTGCTAGAGGAGATAGGAATCCCCCGGCTTACGTTTTTGGATAGGAGGATAATGTAAACAAGAAGTGCTCGTAGAAAAAAGGGGCTTGTAAATGTACTGAGGCAATATGGAAGTAGTGTGTTCTGTATGGTGTTTTCCTGGCTGCTTGTTTGTTGTGTTGTCTAAGTGTTTGTTGTTGTACACGCTTTCGCATGCTCATAATAGCAAGATGAAAAGAAAAAGAACTGGGTCGGCAACGCGCTTGGGACATCGCATCAATAACCCCCGAAGTGAGGTCATTACAACTTGAGTATGATGTTTTTAGGATGGTAGATCGATCCCTCAAGGGACCATATAAACCTTCTGTGAATGGTTTTTTCTAGTATTCTTTTTGAGGGTTTGACCCACGTAAAACTAACCGAGTAATTGTAAATTGGTCAAGACATTAATTGCTTCTCTTTTTCCTCTGAAGAACTTAATAGTTTACTGCATTTTCCATTTA